TTACTTATTATTCATAAAAATGTTGAAAATTTGGTGAAACAGTACAACGTACACCAACACTAGATATACCAGGCATGCTGAGAATATTGTTATTCCATTTTCCAGTATTAACGTTACAAAAAATAATAAACTACAAATTGGACTTCATAACAACTTTGTGAATCATTTTAAATACAATAAAATCAAACAGATATCTCGTAAAATATTTCAAAAGTTTTGGCCCATTACTTCGGGACCACCCTGTATAGTTTGGCCCACTAAGAACCAGAATATCCTTCTTGTTATTATTATTATTTTTTTTGGGACACTCGATTCTAAGAGCTTTTTTATATCTAGTGGTCAAGACGGACTTGCTGAACCAATTATGATGAAGCAGTTAACAAACCACGGCCTACTGCGTTTTTTTTTGGAAACGAGGAAGAAATCTGGCTGCATAGCCTTAAATTAACTTCACTTAAAACCACTACACATCAAATTTCATAAATGTATAATGCAGAACAATTTTTATTTTAGCTCTTCTAACTAAAAATTGTGTTGATTTCTTTGTTAAAATCTTAAATTCTCTAAACACCAAAATATTTTCACTTAGAAATAATTTTAAATTTACACTTTGTTATTTTTTATAAAATATTAGATCTTTATAAACAATTGTTCCACTTTGTAAATCGATGAAATTTGAGATATACATATGTACGGGTTTTTAATAAAAAAAATCGTTAAAGTAATATTCTCTAAAATAAAATCAAGTAATCCATGGATTGGCAATCTAGAAGGTGTCCTAGTTCTTACTGCGACTCACTGTATATTTGCTTGATGGTGGTGATGAGGTACACAGGTTTTTAAGCAACATCGAAACCTCTAGATATTAGACAGCTAGTACTTGCCTTCACTTGCAGCGCGAGCCTATTTTAACTTGTTACTGGCGGCATGCACAATAATTCACCACATCACTTCGTCTACTTGTTTGGGTTTTCGAAATATTTTGAAAAAAAATGACTGTAATTTACTTTATGTTAAACAGGAACTTTATACGAATAATATGACTCTGGACTCAGTTCCAAGATCATTTCGTTTGTAGCCTTCTTTTTTTCTCACACATTTCATGTTTTACTGTCCTGGTCAGAACAGGTCTTCAAATTCGTTATATCCACTTAGTCTTTCCGGATACACCGGTTAAAAGAGAGTGGAAACTGGAAAACAATGAGAAAGATCATGCCTGCTATTTTTGAGAAAATTGCTGTGTATTTTCTCCTTAGGTCCCCACGCTCAGCCAGCGCGTGCGATGCAGAAAATTACAGTCTGAGGATCTCAATAGATCGGCTAATTGAGTTGAGGGGCAGACAATGTCTAAAATGCGGAGCCCATGTTGAACTTTACGAACGCGACACGTGCTTTATCTCATTCATTTGGAAAGCTGACATAAAAATGTATGTCTACAGATGTGCTAACAGAGATGGGACAAGCGTATAATTAAAATCCATTAAAATCAGGTGAAGGTAATAATTGGTGTGCATTGTTCAGGAAAAAAATATTTATTGTCGCAAATTGCATATTTCTACATTCTGGCGGATGCGCCAATGACAAAACCTAAAGTCTATCAGAAAAACCCGGTTTTGGAAATTTTTTTAGATTTTTCCTAGACAGATAATGTTTCAAAATGAAGATATATGCAAATTAACATACCCGGAATCAAAATGAAAGCGTTGAAAATCATATTTGGGTCTGCTGAAAATACCGATAGGCTCAAGTCTTTCTTTACATTCCTTATTTTGGAATAAAATCATAAATAATAAAAAGTATAAAAATCCTTCCGCATAATGCATTGTTTTAAACAGTTTTTATCACCATTTTGTGTCTCCTGCCATAAATTTAAATATATTTAATCTCCCTTAATTTCTATTTTTTTTTTTAAGAAAATGTAGATGCCTACAGATAATCACAGAAACTAGAAACTCAACTCAACTTGTGGTAATTTTCCCTTAAAGTCTTCACAGTCGACAAATAATGAAAAAAGAATGTATAAAAGACATGCTAATATTTATTTTGATTATCGAATTTACATGTCTAAGATTTTCATAAAAGAAGTCTCCAAAAAAGTGAATCGAATAAAATTGTTAGAAAAATTGGATCAACGAAGATGTAATTAAAATAATTTTCCCTTTAACCATAATATTAGTGAGCAGGTAAATCATTAAAGTTTTTACACATCAATTCATTAAGAAATAAAATTAAATCACCTATGTTATTAATTACATATTTGTTATCTTCACATGCATATTGGAGACTATTTCCATATGTATTTTAATATGATTATTTTTACAGAAAAGTAATATATAGTATATATGCAGTATATTAATAAATTATGAACTAAAAGTACTTTTTTCATATTATCTACTAATTTTTATGTCATGATATTACGTGACACGATATTACACGTCAGCGTAAGTTAAGTTGCATAACTTAAACCTATTATTGGAGTTTGGTAATTTTGTAATGTCCATGGTTTGAGATTTATGTTTTAGCCAAGGATTTTATGTGTCAGACGCTATAGATAAACGGAAGCATTTACTTAATATTTATTAAGAAATTAGTTGAAAAAAAAGTTACGTTACATTATTTCATTTTAAATTTCTCGCACGTTTATATTTCATACTCTACTATCAGCGCCGCCTTTACGTGAACTAAGAAATGGCTCACTTTTCTTAACACGGAGTTTTCACTCCTTGTCTACTCTTCATAGTTTGAGATATAAAGTTTACATGTATACTATAAACTCCATAGTTTGAGGAGTAACTAAAACGCAAAATGGGAAGGATCCATTGCATACATCGATTTTAATGTATTAATGTGGTATTAGCTAGAAACGGCATCGCCAATTTGAAAGCACAAAAGCACAACGATTCTTTTGTTATGTTGTCAGAGCTTTGTGTAACTGGGAAGAGAGGGTATTGGAAATACCATGTACCAGGAGCACATCTAGAAAAAGAAGTTTAAAAGGGGCCAAGTGTAAATCGTAAATTTTTTATATGTAATAAAATAATAATAATATCTCTACCCCTCATTCTAATCGCAAGGATTAGTTCAGAAGACGGAGACTTGAAAGGGAGAGGAGGTGGTATATTATTATTCAGTAGGTAGACCGCGTATAGGCTCATCAGGAACGACTTACATTAGTAAGCCCTAACCTAACCACCACCATTCAGTGCGGGAATGAAGAATTTTTTTGGTGTATTTTTAATTACACTTTAACTCGAACAAAATTAGTAATGAAATTTTTATTTAGGAAGTGTTTATTGCTATATGTGATTAATTTAACTGTTAATAGGTATCTAGTGATAATCTGAGATGGACTACGTATTAAGTAAATCATTATAGTAGTCTAAATATATAGAATATAGAATGTTAAACAGTGGTAGTAGATCTGTCTGAAATACGTATTAGATTGTAAACATTGACTTCTTGTATTTTATATATTATAATGGGTTCAATTAAATATGATAATAATTTCTGTTTTTATTGTCCAATAAATAATACGTAATTATGGATTATTGATCGTAAATATTTAAAAGTTTTACCGACATACTTAATTTTTACTTGTCTTTGGAGCTGTGTATTATTGACCAGAAGGTATACTAATAAATTTGCGGTTTGTAGAAGAACAAATATTTGTAAGATTACTTCTACACAATTTAAATTTACCGTCAGATTTATTTCTCTAAATCAACAAGAGATGGCGAAACATGGTCCATCAGTAATAGAGTCCCTAGAATAACAGGGGACTCTAGAGACTCTACATCAGTAAGACCATTGTAATACGAACAAGGTAGCAAGGCACTCAACGTTCTATCCGCGAATGCAACTAAGAGCTCGCCCTCTGGCGGTGACAAGTGATACTAGTAAAACAAGGTAAACATTTCTTGTGTGTGACATTTCGTTTTGTATTTTATTTAAAACTGTGTATAGTGTTTGCTTTTGAACACTGTTTTATTAAAAAATTAGTATGAGGAAAACTTCAGCAGTTATGGACATTATCTAGGGTTATGGATAAAAACAAGAAATTGTCGGACTATTATTGTTCAGTTCATGGTTGTTCTGCGCCAGAAGAAAGGGCCCTAGCCGGCGGGACCCAGCCAAGACAAAAGAAGGTCCCACAACGCGCCTACACCGGCCGCATTTGCGGTCGGGGTAGACGACGGATGGGGCCCACCTACGAAGGCTGTCCAGGCCTACACGAGATGAGGCAGAATATAGAGGGATAATCCCCCTTGATCCCAAATCATTGAAGCCAATTTCTAGCCATGGAATAATGGCGCGCGGTTGTTCTTCATGGTCCAAGAAAAATCCAGAATTAAATTTTCATCAAATTGAAGAAATTTTCAAAATATTATTGTCGATAGACAAGACAATACTCCCTGAATTTCAAGAGCGTTGTTAGTAAGGGCACTACTCACTAGTTTGCAGACACAATGAATAAGTTTCTAAATTTAAATCACTTTGCCCAATTTTCCCACATAGTACCACATGACCAGCGTTAAAAACTGCCACATCTCCTTCTGATATACAACGAGAGTTTTCGTTGGCACTTAAATAGGAAATGTAGGTATTCCACAACGGATAACTTCATAGTTATAACCTCAAAAAATGTACATTAAATTGTAACGCTAGAAACAAACAAGGTAGACATAAATACTTGCATTAAAATTTATTTATGAAATATTTGAAACCTATAAAATATCACAAAAGTCAAATAACCGCAGTTTAATAACAAAATTACTATTGATAATGGAAAATAAAACGAATGTTGTTCAAATGAATCTGTAAACATGAACGGCAATGTCAAAATTACTTTGTCTCGCAGCTTGCTGCTTTCGCCGCTTGATGCGCTTGCATCTTTAAAATTATCGCGGATAAAATGGGTTGTTTTAGGACTTTTAGGACTCTTTCTGTTAGTAATCTGTGGGACTCTTTATGACAAATTCTGGTCTGTGGTCGTGGTGATTAGTGGTTATGATCTGTGACAAATTGGTTATGTTATAAAAGTCAAAATATTTTTTTAAATAATTTGTCACACATTTTTTTCTAAAAGAATTTGAAATGTGTATCTTACAAAATATCTTACTGTAATTTAATATTGTTTATAATGAACATTTTATTAACAAATTGTTTATTTTTCACTAGTGCTTAATTTTTAATTGTGAATTTGATAGTTATTGTAGAGAAGCAAGTTAATAAAAATATAACATGGACACGGCATATTTTAGAGAATTCAATCATTCGGACCAGTGCGAAATGCACTTTTTCCTTGATACAGAAGTAGCAGATATTGGAAGGGTTAAGGAAGAAATTAAAGCAGTTAGACAGAAATCAGACACTGTTGCTTCCCTGTTGCAACATATAAAAAACAAACTCCAAAAAATACTTTTAGACAAAGAAATGGTAAATTTGGAGTTAAAAGAAAATGAAAATAATGTAGAGAATAATGTATCTACTGATATACCTGTTGTATTAAGAAGAGAAAATAAACATGTTAAAGGTACAATGGTTTTAAAAAATTTTCCAGCATCGCTAAAGCAAGGAAATGTTTTTCTGGAGGTATTTGAACAAAAGTTTCCTGTTGTTGTAAACGCTCCTTTTATTAAGCAAATTAAATTACCATCAGTTTTATATGCCAACTTCACCATTCAACCAACAAAATTCCATGCAATATATGCAGATAACACGAAATCGCTGTATTACTGGTACAAGTCTATTGACAAACTACATTGGGAGGAAATTGGAAAAGGTTTCATATATCTGTTGAAAGAGGAAGATGTAGGACATTACATAAAGATAGTCTGTATTCCTTTTAGTGAGTGTAAAGTTCGAGGGCCCAGTGCCCAAACTATATCGGAAAATGTAGTGGAACTAATGGGAGAACTGCCAACCTGTCCATTTGAGAAAAGGCATGAATTTACTCGTACAAAATTAAAGGGTTTGGAGTAAGTAATGTATATTTTTAATTTGATAACCGACTACTATGAAAAAGTATATCTAACATTTAAGTGGCAAATATTTATGAGGAGGAAACTGTTAGCCAAAAATACACTAAAATAATCATTTAACATTTTCATAACTTCTCAAATATTCTCACACATAATAGGACAAAATGGTCATGGCTTCAGATTTAATTAAGTACTAGCTGAACCCCGCCACGCTTCGCAGCGGCTACTTTTTTTTTCTCATCATTATTACCATACAACATTGACAATATTGTGTCAATCCAGTAATGTGTCGAACATAACCCATAAATTTGAGCTCAATCGATTAGTGATATTCAAGTCTATAATCTATATGTGACATGCAGACTAAGATTGAATTTTATGTACATATAGATTACTTAAATAGATCTCAGTATTACTTAGATATTGCTCAAGCTTCTACACCAAATTACTTTGTAGTTTCCTCCTCATTTAATTTTACCTAATAAATTATAATTCACACATTTTTATTTCACAATTAGATAACAAATAACAGCAGCAAAGTGATAGAGTGGGAAAATATAGGTTACCTTCTGCCCTATTATCCCTTTCTACATCCCTAAATGCCTCTTGTTTTGATTTGGGCATTTCACAGCTCAAGCAAAATTTGTCCAACTTAGTAAAATCACTAATTAACAACATTTGCTTATGTACAGTGCATTTATTGATAGAAATTAAAGTATGTACTTAACTCAGAACTAGTTTTATAATTATTATAATTTTTAAATTAGACATATCAAGTTATCAATCATAATCAGTGAGAAATATATAAAAACAATCTTGTCTGGGGCGATACCCTGATGGTTTTGGTTTATTAGTCTCAATAATTGCTCGACGTGCTTCTCTACGTATTTTTACGAGTTCGCTATATTTTGTATAACAAATGGTTAAACATTTTGTATATGCAAACATCAACCCAGAATCAATAAAAACCAGGATAAGGTTAATTGTCTTGAATCTAAATTTGCAAGTCATCACTGAGATTATCATCAGCAGGTCAAATAATAGGTAAAGGAACATCTCAATACCTGTAAGCCATGTAAATACACCACGTACAAATATATTTCGGGAGAGTTTTATTATTACAAAGCAAAACCCAACTGTGAACGTAAGGTGTAACATAGCATCTATTTTCAAAGTAGCCCTTTCTTCTAAACTAATAAAAACCATATTTGTCACGCTTACTAAAATTATAGCTGATGTGAAGATACATCCATAAATATTAGCAGAATAACACATTTTGGTAATAGTTTGACAATTTTTAGTAATTGACATCTAGTTTAGTAAAATAATCAATTATATTTTTTCCACAGTTAACTATGTTAAAATTATTGTTGGGTTGGGGCTAATAAATAAAACTAGAGATGTATGTTTGGTTGTGTTTCTTTTATCTTTACTGCACATGACCATACTAAGTTATTGTTGTTTTAGTATTGTTAACTTATATCTTTATTTATTAAAATTTAAATTATTTAGATTAACTACTGAAGTAAGATACTTTTATATTCAAATATTTGTTTTAACATCATTTTTAATTTTGAATGGCTTATTAGTGCTTTTATGCTTTGACTTATTTACTTTACTGTTTATACTGGGTATTTCAGGAGGAATAATCAATACTTTAGTATCTTATAATATTGTTTATTTTGGACTAAAGAGTTCATATGAATGTGTGTCCAAATCTCAATGGTTACTGAGATAGAGCCAGTGGAAATAAAGAACAAACGAATATCAATTTATTAATTTTAATAACCAATAGGATTTGATATACAAATACAAAGTAGCTTTTGATTTTTAGAAATTAAAGATATGGTTCAAAACTTCTACTGCCAAACTCCGCACATGTTGTTCTAATGAAAATGTTATTGTGATGTGCAGTTTTTCTGGGCATCGCTTTATTCTCGTTGCAGTGGCCATAATATGAACGATCAGTATAAACGCGTATTTACATTTTCTTTATAAACATCGCTTTTCATCCATCCCCATCAGCGTTGCCGGACGTCCCGCCTTTTAACCCAAAATTAAATGTCCCGCAAAAAAAATCTGGCAACGCTGATCCCCATAGTCCATAATCTAATGGAGTGGAGTTAGGTCTGGAGACCCCAGCGTGAGAAAAAATCTGTGGCATTTTAAATAAATTTCACAGATACATACGTCAACAATTCAATATCAAATGTCAATTATTTGGTGGGAGTCTACTCGATAATTTATCTGTTTTACACTCAACGCAATCGACATTAAAATTGCTGCATTAAGTTTTGAACACATACACATTTTCATTTTTTCATTCAAAATGAAAATATTGACTATTCCTCCTGAAACACCTGATATAATAGACTTGAGTTCAGCCTTTGCCCCTACGCCAGTGTTTGTAATATTAATTGTAAGTTCATCGAAGGAATAAATCCAGTTACTGTTTAATTTTCAGCACTTATCACTAAATAATTAGGTATTTTTATGATTTTTTTCTTATTTTAGTATATTTAGGAGAAATACATTTAATACCACTTTTAATGTCACTTTCATCACTTACGTTGTCTGGGCCCATAACCTCTTTGATTAGCACTAATAAATAAAACTAGAGAGTCTGTTCAGCTCAGTGTTTATTCAAGAAGTACTTTTCAGATGGGCTTATGATACTACATATTTCTAAAGTTCTCTTTGAGAAAAGCATGGACCAAGCACATTATTAATAAATAAACACTACACTATACACAATTCATCAGATCAGTCCTATGAGTTTTAATTTTTCTAACTAACTATATATTTCTCATCATATTTAACAATTATTTTTATTAGAATTCATCAATCCGGTTTGGTAAATGCTTTTTAAGTAGGTAACAATTTATTTGAAAGTATATTCATATTCTTTAATTTCAGGTTTAGAATAGTATCATATAACATACTTGCAGATCGATATACTGCGGATAGTGAAAGCTATGCTTACTGTTCTCCCAAGGCATTAGCCATAGATTACCGTAAACAACTTATTCTAAGAGAATTGTTAGGTAATGTGTAAAAATAAGAATCCATGGCGTATCAGTTTATAATAAACTTATTCAGGTTACAACGCTGACATTATTTGCTTACAAGAGGTTGATAATAAACATTACACAGGATACTTCAAAAAGAAGTTTAATGAAATTAATTTTGGAAGTGTCTATCACAGAAAAGGAAATCGGATTCCAGAGGGTTTGGCTTGTATTTTTAATAAGACGCGTTATAAGTATGTACCATTCTGCAAAATTACTACTAAAAATTATTTAAATGAAATGTTAGTTTAATTATTTACCTAAATTCACTTTTTTTAGTATTAAGGAATCGAAACATATCGTCATGAGCATTGAAGTTCAAAGGCATAAAGTGTTCTCCTATATTTGGAATATAATTAAGAAAAATGAAGAACTAAAAGCACTGTTTCTTAGGCAATCAACATCTCTTCAAGTTTCAGTGTTACAGGATAAACAAACCAAGAGGTGTATAATTGTCGGCAACACACACCTATTCTACCATCCGGATGCAGACCACATAAGACTTCTACAAGTAAATATGGCAGCCGCATATTTGAACATGATAAAACGAAGATATCTAAGGGTAACAACTTTGTGTTGAAAAAAAGGTAAAGTGAAAATACCTTATAACAATATTTTTTAGGATGGCGTTGATGTCTCTGTAGTATTTTGTGGCGACTTTAACAGTAACCCAGAAAAATCCCTTCTTGACTACATGCTTCAAGGCCGAATTAGTCCAGAACATGAAGACTGTATAAAAAGTGAGGCTATTATTATTTTTATGTTTTCTCTGTACTAGTTTCTTTTAGTTCATGAAAATGGCAAAGCGCTCTTGTACCACGAATTCATATTTGAAAGTGCATGTGGGACACCTAAGTATACAAATTACACACCAGATTTTAAAGGTTGTTTGGATTACATTTTTATCGAAAGCAACAGATTGAACGTTGAACGGACGGTACCGTTAATGGATGAAGAAGAATTGGGTAAATACGAGGGGTTGCCTAATGAGTTCTATCCTTCCGATCATTTAGCACTTGTAGCTGATTTAAGATTTAAATCAAGAGGAATGACACTGTGATTTATGTATTGACAATTGAACTGATATATTAATTGGAAATGTTTATATTGAATAAAGATTTAAAAATTGTTAGATTAATAATTAACCATACAGTGTATAAAAAAAAAGATGAATTATAAACATATTTTGATAAGAAAACATTTACAAGAGTTATTTATGATACAAGTCTTAAAAGTGACATCTTATTTTGTGAGTGGGAAATATTGCGGAAGGAGCGTAGCGAGTTGAGCAACTCCATCATCAAAACAAAATGATTTTTAACAAATGTATCACACAATATTTTTTGTACAACTGTTATTTAAAAAAAATGTCTGTGGGTTTGAACCTCGATTTGAACTCCTAATCTATCACTTACGTGTCCCGCACGTTTCAGTTACATTCAGTGACAATAAAGTGTATATATCAAGTCGGGTACCAAGGGTAACTAAGTAAGTTGTTTAGTGTTTATTATAGGCCGTGAGCTAGCGCACATGGGTGTGGCTTCATCCAAAAATGTCTGGTATTTTGAGGTCTGAAAAATGTAAGTTAGTTAATAAAAATAAGGGCGGTTTTAAGGGCCGACCCGTGTTTGAAAATTTGGAAAATTAATTAGATAATTTCCCTTTGCATAAAATAATTAGTTTTTCACTCATCTAAAGTGTCTGGCAGTTGATGCAAAAATAGACATTAATAAGTACCTAACAATTTTCAAAGGCTAGACGGTTTTAAATAGCCGAAAGGGTGGTTCATAGGGCGGACTTGCAAGAAAAAAAAATTCGTTTACTTTTTTGTCTGGCAATCGAAACAGTGAAAATTTTTGTTATGAATATGATAAAAGTAAATTGCCAGACGGTTTCCAATGTTCCGAATCGAGTTTTTCTGTGGAAAATTCTGTGAAAATTTTTAACATTTTTCAGTGATCACTATTTGTCTGGTATCTCGGTTACTTAAAATTAATACCCATATTTCTTGTTAAAAAATTTTCCAGACAACGGACCCCGCACTTTTCTTATGGAAAGTGGCTTTCGGACAATTTTTTTGAAACTTCGCAGATTGATAGTTCAAAAACACCACCCCTTCCCCCTCAAAAACTGACTCCAAATAGCGGGGAGTTTACTTGTTTTATGAAAAAAAGTTTCAAATAAGATTTTTATTTCAATGAAATCTAAAAAAAACTATTCTTGTGTTTTTTCGAAAAATCAATGTTTTAGCTTTAAAACGCCACCAAAGTTTAACACAGAGGATGTGTATGATAGCTATAGACATACACGTATGTTAAGTTTAATAGCGTTTTACAGCTTGAATATTACTTTTTCGAAAAAAACAAACTTTTTTTTAGATTTTGTCAAAATAAATAACACTTGAAATATTTTTTCATAAAATGACAAATAAACTCTACAGCTATACAGTGCGTCCCAGAAGTAACGCAAAAAATTCATATTTTATTTTGTGTTGAGTTTTCACAAAAACGCTAAAACACTCAATTAGTAAATTAGAATTGTCGTTTTGTCACGTTGCTTAAACCTTTTTTGCACTATGTTTCATAAACCTATGACGTCATCGACATTTTTTTTTAAATAGCACCACCTAATTTTTTAAGCATAAATGGATAGCCATTTTGAAGGGAAATGCGTCGATATAGGGTTTGGCCTACTTTAGTTTGACAGGAGCGAAAAAAAGCCAACGATTGGAATGAACATGGTTTGAATTAATAACAAAAATAGGTATCACAAACTTATGCGCGAACAGTGCTATAGCAAAAAATCTGTTTTGGTTGATTGTTGGCACATGTTTTTATGTAGATTGGGTAGGTACACCCGATCACAGTGGCTATGTAGGCATTGTTCTGAAGACGACAGTTAGCGAATGCAATAGTGCCTCATATTGTCACAGTTACAAATACCATAACTTTACATTACGATGGTGTTGTGTTTAAATGAGAAGCAAAGAACTGAAATTCTAATTATGGTTGAATACGGAGATATAGGATCCGTAGTTATGATGAAATATGTCAATGATTCAATGCCAAGCATCCAGAACAACCAATACCTCCGTGTACAGTATGCAGATTAGTACCCAAATTTGAAGACGCTGGCCATGTTAGAAATGTGTCTAGATCTAGAAGGCCAACGACAGTGACAGAAAATGATAGGCAAAATGTTATGTTTAGCCGTCACTGAAAATCCACACATTGCCATTCGTCGTATCGCCGCAAACGCCAACATATCAGTACATAAAAACGTACCTACAATCAACCAAAACACAAAACATCCCCAAATTTCTATTTTATACTGTGGCACTGTTCTCGCATCAGTTTATGATACCTACTTTAGTTGTTATTTTAAACCATGTCCATTCCAGTCATTGGCTTTTTTTCCGCTCCTGTCAAAGTAAAGTAGGCCAAACCCTATCTATATCGACGTATTTCCCTTCAAAAGGACTATCCATTTATGCTTAAAAAATTAGGTGGTGCTATTTAAAAAAAATGTCGATGATGTCATAGGTTTATGAAACATAGCGCAAAAAAGGTTTAAGCAACGTGACAAAACGACAATTCTAATTTACTAATTGACGTGTTTTAGCGTTTTTGTGAAAACTCAATACAAAATAAAATATGAATTTTTTGCGTTACTTCTGGGACGCACTGTATAAACAATTAAATTGTTAATAACAATTTTCCTGACCCGATTTCGTAAAATTGAGTTGCAGATTCAAATTCAGCGTGAAAAAATACGTGCAACTATAAAATACAGTAATCTGGAAAATCCGTAGGCTGATTTGTGGGGGAACGGGGTCAAGTGTGATAGTTTGATAGTCAAAAATGTGGTTGTTTGGGGTTGTTGATGGGTTGATTAAAAAAATAAATTATTTACATGCAGAAATCAGTTAAATTCCCCCGCTACTTGAGGGCAGTTTTTGGGGGGGGGAGGGGTGGATTTAGGGCTTTGTGCCCATCGAAACTTTTGATGTACATGTTAAGAACTATCAACCTGCGAACTTTCAAAAAAATTGGCCAAAAGCCACTTTCCATAAGAAAAGTGTGGGATCCTTGGAAAATGGAAAAATTGTGCCAGACAAAAGAAAATTCGTAAAAAATATATTAAAATTTATGATTTATTTTTGTCTGGCATTTTGAATTTCAATTAGAAATACGCGTATAAACACAATATACAAATGCCAGACAAGTTGAGATGTTCGAAAATGTATAAATAAATTGAAAAGTTACAAAAAAAATTAATGAATACATACTTGGTTTTCTTTTTTTTCTAATTTAAACGATTTATTTTTGTCTGGCATTTTGCATTATTATTGGAAATACTTATTTATACTTCAGGTTGAAACGCCATACAAGTTGGGTTGTTCGAAAATTAAAAAAAAAAAATTAAATTAAATAGTTGTAAAAAAATTAATGAAAACTTCAGTGTCTTTTTTTTGTCTGGCAATTCGTTTTTTAATAAAAAATACACTTACAAATTCAAATTAAAAATGTCAGACAAGTTGGGTGGTTCGAAAATATATAAATAAATAAACAAAGTTGGAAAAAAATACAATTTCTCATTTTTTTCGACTTTTTCCCTTTATATTATAAACTGTAGTTACTCGAGAAACATCATCTTCATCTTCATCTTCTAGTGGTTGGTCTTTAAAAGTCCCATAGCACTGCGGCCTAATTAGGCCTATTGTGCGTCCCACTACTAGTCCTATTCAGCAAGTAGATTTGTCCTTTTTACAAAGTCCAAAAGCTTCCTTGCTGACACTTCTCTCAGTTCCTTGGGTTCCAAATAGGGTCTCCCAAGGAGTGCCATTCTGCTACGTGCAAATCCCGGGCACTCGCCCAGGATATGCAGAGAAGTTTCATCCGCTGATTCACATCCTCGGCAGACCAGACTGTCTATAAGCTTTAGCTTGTGTAGATGTTTCCTAAAGTGACAGTGTCCCGTTATGAGTCCTGTCACACTCCTGAGCCGGATTCTATTCAAGCTCAGTAGCTCATTCGCTCTTCCCTTCGAAGGATACTCCATAAGTTCCTTAGAATGGCTATGTCCTGGCCTTGAAGTCCAGTATTTCCTATGTTCTGTCTCTGTCCATTTGCCCAGAGCCCGCCTGACCACACTGGGAGATGTGCCACAGAAGGGCTCCGGGCCAATGAACACTGTCTCGGATCCCTTCCTAGCAAGTTCATCCGCTTTCTCATTTCCACAAATGCCTTTGTGCCCTGGCACCCAACACAGTCTGACTGTATTGTTGGTGGCCAGTTCAGTCAGCATTTGTAAACAGTCCCACACCAGTTTTGAACTTACCTTGTGTGCGGCTAAAGCTTTAATTGCAGCTTGACTATCAGAGAATATATATATGAATTTACGTCTATAACCTCTACGTACATTCTCTGCCAGACACGCCATTATCGCGAAAATTTCTGCTTGGAATACAGTAGGGAACTCCCCCAGACTGTAGCTTGCACTCCATCTGGGTCTGAGTCCATATATTCCTGCACCCGTCCCTCTGGTCATTTTGGAGACATCTGTAAACCATACTAGGCTCCACCTTTCCAGGGTATTAAACCTTCCCTCCCATTTGCTTTGATCCTCTATTCGAGTCTCAAATGGCTTGTGGATACTTCCATCCCAAAAGTTGGTTCCGATATAGATGTGTCTATGATCCTGGAATGGGAACTTCCCCTCCAGTCGTTGTTATTCCTAAGTCGATATGCTGCTAGCCGCGCTTCTCTTTCCACCACTATATGCAGCGGTGGCAGATTTAGCATTACTCGAGAAACATACTCAAGATACTATTTACGATGTAAAATTTCCTACTGAATCTGATGCTGTCAACGGAAATGACTTACCTAGCCAAGAAAAGCTGGAAAATAGGAAAAACATTCGTAAATTTAAAAAATTCAAATTTTAAATCATATTCGAATTAAGAAATAAAATTGCAGGAAAATATTATTCATAACATGATTTTACATGAATAAAAGTGCTTTTTTCAAAATTTTGTACCCCATAAGGGTACAAGTGGCTTATGTCCAGTAAAATCACTGTTCTGCGCAAGTGTATCTCCATGAGACAGTTTTTGACTGTCACAGCCATTACAGAGAAATTTGAATTCAGTATACATCAGTTTGTATACAAATTCAGTATATGTCAGTATATGTACAATGATGGACAGCTTAAAGTCTCCACCAGTTGGGTCGCTCTCGTTCTATTGCGCCCCACCACATATTAATTTTCATTAATTTTTTATACTTAACTATTTAAATTTAATTTTTTTTTTAATTTTCAAACAACCCAACATCTGGGGTTTTAACCTGAAGTATAAATATGTGTTTTCAATAGAAATGCAAAATGCCAGACAAAAATAAATCGTTTAAATTAGAAAAAAAAAGAAAACCAAGTTTTCGTCAATTTTTTCGTAACTTTTTAATTCATTTATACATTTTTGAACAGCTCAACTTGTCTGGCATTTGTATGTTGTGTTTATACACGCATTTCTAATTGAAATGCAAAATGCCGGACAAAAATAAATTGTTGAAATTTTTACAAATTTTTCACGCCTTATTTATAAATTTGCGAACTGGCCAATTTGTCTGGCATTGAAAAATGAATAACATTTTATAATACCGCAAACACAATGGCCCTCTTTTTTTGTACATTAAGATCACTGAAAAATATTAAAAATTTTCACATAATTTTCCGCAAAGATACTCGACTCCGAACATTGGAAACCGTCTGGCAATTTATTTTTATCATTTTCATAACAAAAATTTTCATTGTTTCGATTGCCAGAGGGTAAACGAATTTTTTTTTTCTTGCAAGTTCACCCCTATGAACCACCATTTCGGATATTTAAAACCGTCTGGCATTTGAAAATTGTTAGGTACTTATTTATGTCTATTTTTGCATCATCTACCAGACAGTTTAAGATGAATGAAAAACTAATTATTTTATGCAAAAGGAAATTAATTTTCCAAATTTTCGAACACGGGTCGACCCTTAAAACCACCCTTATTTTCATTAACTAAGTTATGTTGCCGATAACTTATGGATATGAATATTTTTTCCAGCTTAGAACTCGGAAGAACGAAGCCACTAGATCAAAAATTATTGCTAAATTGTTTATAAATTAACGGTAAATGCCGATAAATTCTGACCGCTTATATCTCGAGAACCAAAACAAAATTTAATTTCTTTTTTTTTAAAAGAAGCATCTTTCTGAGTACTTTAAAATTATAATTTTTGAAAAAAGCTAAATTGCAAATTGATAAATGTAATCTAATTGTTTAAAAATAAAAAGTGTTTAAAAATTTACTGTGGCCGTCCTAATCAACCGATTTCAATTTTTCAGAAACTATTTGAACGGTTGAGCAGTCTTTTCTATGCTAAAAAATTTTCAAGTATCTAGATGCATCATTTGAGGCTGTGTAACATTTTGAAAATTCGAAAATTTTTTTCAAAATTTTCAAAAAAACGATTGAAACGAGTTTAATTAAATTTGGTGTGTTATTTTATTATACTCTAAAGTTTTTTAGCAAAATTAGAATGCCCTTGGAGCAATTAAAATATTTTAAAAAATTATCCAAAAACTTGATTGCCTTTTTTTCATTAATTGCTAATTTTTCATTATTGCTATTTTGCAACATCGGTAATAAATTTAAACATTTTTAAATTACAGTATATTGTGCAGAATTCAATTCTAAAACTTTTTTCCTCTTCAATATTCTTCCAAAATGCATAAAGGTTCCAAGATATAAGTAAAAACCCCAGATAAAATAGGTATTTTTTAAAATTTTTTAAACATTTTTGCAATTTTGAAAATGTTCCGGACCTCGCCCAGATCTAGGGATCTATATTTTTATTAAGTGAGTTATACTGAAGGTATTCCAGCAAAAATTAGCTTGCTCCCTCATACATCCATGAAGTGAGATATTTCGACAGATCCGCCCTGATTTACCTATTATTTTTAATTATTCGATAACATTCACTTTTTTATTCACAAATTCAACTGGAAATACATATTTACATTCACATTTGTATTCGTGAAAATTGAAAATTTCATACCCTAACCCTAATCAAAATGGTCGTTTCGTTCAAAAATTGCTAAAAAATTACGTTGCTGTGAACAGTTTGCAGCCAACTGGTATGCTCAATAATTCGCTATAAGATTGGGAGGTGAACTCATCCCAAGTGGCCAAGTATGGAGGTATTTTTTTGTTAAATGATTTGCAAATAACATGGACCAATTTCTTTATTTCTGGAGAATTTTTTTTGGATATAGTTTTTATACATTTTTAAAAATAATACATAACAAAATATATAGAAGGACTGAATGCAGAGAATTTTAATAAAACTTCCCTGAGGCGCATCCAATATATCACAAACGCCAGACACAAAAATAAGTTTACAAAACTTGTACAAAAAAGAATGAGAGCATTATTTAAACAATAACAGTAAATGCAACCCTCTATTTGTATTTGAGATAAATTATGAAATTACCTTTTGTACTTACTTTCTTACAAAGTAAACACATAATTCATTCCGCTTACTTTCTATCTACACAAATATAGCTAAAATTTCCTAGTAGCTTCTATCTCTTTTCCACCGTTTTATCGTCTGTTTGGCTTTTTTCTGAAACGCCTTTAATGATTTGAATTGTTTCCGATGATTGCCCCGATGTTTCTTTTACATCTTTTTCATTTGTTTGTGGGCTTTCAGTAATTTTAGGAATGATCGGTATATATGAATCTTCTTTTTCTGAATGATATATACTTTTTGCCTCCTTTCTCTCCTGCTCTGATTGCCACTCAACCTGAAAAAAAAAAAAAAATATAAGTACAATTTAAGATAAATGTAAATATTTATTACCTTTTGCCTGTGTTGTCTGACGTGATCCTCAACCTTTTCCAAGACCATTTTCTCAGTAAGTATTCCACTTTCTGAAGCATAAGCAGCTGCCTGCCATGCAACACCCAATTTTGCAATCTCTCTGCCAGACATACCTTCCGTCATACGCGCCATTTTACTACAGAGTGCGCTGTAGTCAAAGTTGTCCACTTTTAACCTCCTAAAAGGGATAACGTTTTAAGATTACCAGATACATTATTTTTCTTCATATTAAAACAGTAAACAGCTTGACATAAGTAATACAGATTTTGCACCCCAAACTCATAATTTCCAAACCAAAGTCTAAGTCTCACCATTTGTTTCAATATGATCTAATATGTATTTCCCTTGCAAAGAGGTAATTTATCAAACTACTTTCATATCAATATCATTGACGTTATGTAAATTTTGGGCCACCGTATGAAAATATTTGTAAAATGTCACATAAATTATATTCTTTCTGCAAAATAATTTTATACAGAAGCCAAAATTTATAATACCAACAGTCGAGGTCAGTGTTCGCAACCTGAAGTGAGGCAATTATCGTACCCGCAGCGTAAAATTATCGTAAATGAACTAGAATTATCGTGCTTATCAAAATAATGTCCATAATGAATAAATAAATAATATTAAACGTAATATTGACATTAACATATGATGCAATTTGCTTTACCGATGGCGACAAGTAAATTTCGTAGGAAGAATGTGACGAATGGATGAAATGATTGACACATGAGTCGGCTAGACAGCACACGTTATCTAAAGAAGGAATGAGCCATTAGATTAGATGGCGCTGTTAGTAAAAAAAATCGGCACATTATTGGCTATCAGGGTAAGATGCTACCCTCCATGAAGATAGAAATAAAATGAATTCTCAAAATTTGTACAAGGAGGGGTATGAATCGGTAGAAGACGTTCCACGTGAAGGAACTTCCATCACCTCCTGTCACGAATGTCGACCGTTTGCGTGTGCTGATCACGTCTAACCGGTGCTTAAGCATTTGTGCGTTGTCTGACGAGTTAAATATCAACAAAGAAACCGTTCGCAACCCGAACTCACCGAGACCGACTAGATCTTGCACCACGACAACGCACTGGCCCATTCCCCCAGTTCATTGTGCAAAAGTTTTTGTCAAAAGCATTCCAACGTTGTCGCACCCACCCTCTAGCCCCAATATTGCCCCCTGCGATTTTTTTTTATTCACCAAGATGAATCGTACAGGAGGTCAGAGCTCTAACCGTGGTGCTGAACGGGCTAACTTCGGAGGACTACCAACGGTGCTTCCAATCGTGGGAGCAACGTTGGAATCATTTTGTAGAGTTAGAAGGAGACTATTGTGAAGGTCGATTATAAAATTTTGCCCGAAACTTAATTTGCTTGTTTTTTATTGACAAATTCCCAGAACTTAATTGCCACACATCGTAAATATGAAACTGCCGCAATCCCAACTTAAAATATTCTCCATGAAGATCAATACACTTTTGTATGCGCTTGACAAATTTTTGAAGCACTTTTTCCATTTCTGTTTGAGGTACCTCCAAAACATGCATTTTGAATGCATCAACAGCGTCTTGAGGCATCGAAAAAAGTTAACCTCGTAATTTATTTTTGAAGTGCAAGAATAAAAAAAGTCATTGGCTGTACGGCATATGACTCATTACTTCGACTTTCAGTTCTCAAAAAGTCACTTGTGAGCCAATGTATGAGAGCTCGGTGGAGAATGACGCATCTTCGGTGGTTGGTTATTATTCCGAAAACGTTTGGCAAATAAATGATTGTGCACCATTCAGAATTTACTTAAATTTTAACTTCAAAACATCTACCCAGTGCTTATGTAAGATTAAATATGTTCATTTCAAGGAAAAAAATTCAAATACGCACTTGTCTATCTCTTATCAGTTTTTATACCAATGCAAACAATATCAGAAAAATTATTTTTAACTATTAGTACCTCAAAAACAGTTAGAAGGATAATGTTAAATCGAGAAAGGAAAAAATCAACAGGATATCACTCCATTTGACAAATAGTCAAAGAAACAAAACAACAACTTGAAAAGGGTGTGATTTGCCAAAAATTGAATTTAATTTGGAAAAATGGAATTTGTAGTACAAAACCTACAATTCATGCCTTACACATACCTCATTCCTTCTGCAGCGGGTTCTAAAACGAACTTCTGGAAGTACAACCTAATGAGACGTTCCCTTTCCTCTAAGCCCGGCAGATAGAATTCCACCATTTCATCCAGACGATCGTTCACTGCCCAATCGAACTGCTCTGGCGTATTCGAGGCCAGAACCAACATGAACTTCTGACTCTGTTCTCCCGTGCGGTAAAGGAACGCATTGAGTGTAGATCGTAGATCTTCAGAGATATTTTCTGAGGATCGCTTCCTCAGAAAGGCGTCAGCTTCATCAACGAACAATAAAAGACCTAAAACAGGAATAAGTAGCAAGTAACGTACATTACTAAAGTAATATTTTTCTCACCTTTCCTACTACTATGTGCCCAGTCGAATACTTTGTGTATTGCCGTTACTCCATCCCTACCCATTGGAGCTATGTCACCGCCAGTTAGAATTGCGTAATCCATGCCAGAATGTTTGGCAAGTTTCTAAAAAAAAGGGAATAAATAATTAAATGCAGTATCCAGAATCTATGACAGAAAATTTAGGAGACAATTCTATTTAAAATAAATATGACCTCTGTTATTTTTTTAATATTTTTTTCATTTGAGCGATTTTTCTCAAATTTAATATGCCTATTATTAATAATATCCAATAAAAAATAAATCATCAAGATTTCTAGTGAAGTTTGTGAAATAAAAAATTATACTCGGGGTAGTTCGAAAGATCTCAAAATAGTGTAGCCCATATATCGTAACTGATCTCTCAAATGAGCTTAAGCGGCAAAAAGAAAATTTACTCTCTTTTGGAATTAAGGCTTTAATTAATAAATGCATATACAGGATGCAACTTTAAATGGGGGCCAATTTTTTAGGGATAATAGTACATGTTCTCCTGAATACGAATCTGAAATTCTTTTTTTTTTAATGAAATAAATAGTACAGTTATAATTAGTTTTTTAAAATGCTCTTCAATATTTGTGTACGCCGTATTACAAATACATGAATTGTAGGCAACCTATAGTGCATGTGAAGGGAGATAGTGAGGTTAACGGTAAGCAAAGGACGTCAGTTGTCGTTTTGCATTTGGAGATCTAACTGTGAATTTGAATGTTTTTCATCGCTGGAACTGCTGGAAGCCATCAACAGACTGTTTATTTTTGTGAATTTCATTTTTTTTAAGTTTTTACGGCAGAATTTGAAAAAATAAACTATTGATACGTGTTTCAAAAGGTCAAAGGAAGCCTCTGAATAAATATGACCACCACTCAAAGTTACACTCTGTATATTCACCTATATTGATACATACGAGCTCAGGCTCATAATAGTTCGGCCAGGCATAATTTTACTACTAATATATTTCAATAAAAGTACCAACACTCCCAAAACTATTTTATTAAAAAAAAATATTGGTAACAGAAACAATGTTCCTGTTATGGAATGGCCCTCTAGCAGTCCAGATCACTTGCCAATAGAAACATTGTGGCATAAAATGAAAAAACAGTTGCGCAAACATCCAGACCGTTCAATTAATGATCAGATTGCAAGAAATTTGGGATAGCATGCTTTCTGAAGAGTGCGCTAAACTGGTAGATACAATGCCTGCCAGAATTAAAGCTGTTGTTCTTAATAAAGGTGTTGTAACACAATTTTGATGAAACAGCCGAACTATTCTGAACTGCCAATCTTAATGTTTTTTATTAACAAACAAGTCGTTGACACATCATTACATAGTAATATTTAATTGTATTTAAGCTAAAAGTTTATACTTTGTTTCTATTACCAATATGTATGTTTAGTCTTAAAAAAAAAGGTCTCCTTGTTCCAAGACGATAGCATTAACCCTTCTAAGAAAAAACAACATTTTGGAGCAACTCCTGCAGGACACAAGAAGCAAGATGAAAGAAAGTTATGTCTTATACTGAAGCTTTAAAATTTGTGAAATACTGGTTAATTAAAAAAAAACTATTTCTATTTTATCAAAAATCGAACAGTCACTTCATACACATTAACATGCATAGTTCGCACAAGTATTGTCACGAATTAATACACATGTCAAAGACTGTGAGAGTATCATCCTGAGCGCCTAATCTGAAAAGATGTATTTAAGATACGTGTAAGAATAATTCATCAAACCGTGTGCAGATCATAACTTGAGCTATTGTGTACCTTTCTTATATAAGCCTTAAAATCTTAAAAACAGTCGTAGGCCAAGAGCAATCTACCCACAGGCCACCAGAGCAGCTAACGGTAAATTGATTAGAATAACTTGAACAAACATAGCTTTTTCCTAATTATTCCAAATTAGATGGGAAATAAAAAAGTTACCATGAAAAATCAGTTTTCAACACACGACTTCAAGAGTAAAAAGCTCAGAAAAAAATTTATAACCTACGACATTATTTTGATATGATCTACCGAAATCCAAGAGCACATGAGAATATTTACCTTCGCAAACATGGTTTTACCGGTTCCAGGGGGGCCATGCATTAAAATATTCCTATACATTCCTCTGTTCTGTTTAGTGTTTTTCGTGGCTATAGCTACATCCCTCAACCTTTCTTCTAGCTTTGGAGCTAAAATTATACCTGACAAAGCATCCTGCTCTGTCGTCCTTAACTTTTTAACTGTTTCAATGGGATGTTTCACAGAGTCCAATAAGGAAAAGCGTGAGGTTTCCCTAACTAGGGATGGTTTGCCTGCAACAGAAAAATACAATTAATATTTTGATATCAAAGAAAAAATCTTCTTACCTAGTCTTGATTCGATGTATCTTGCCGTTACTCCTGTGGCCCCTTTAGCAGAATAAATACCAAGAGCAAGTAATGACAAGCCACCAGCTGCAGTAAGTACTTTGTTCCAGTCTGTAAGCATTGCCTGTGCCCCTGAGCCTATAACTGTACCTGCAGTCCTTGAATAAAAAATAAAATTGATGATTTTAATTAATTTTAAATCTAATAATTGCAGTTTTCTGCAGTAAAGAAAACCATGTTATTACTTGGAAACTAAAATAAACAACTGCACTTACTTTATGCTCTCTAAAACAGTAACCCTATTCTCTTCTGCCTTTAGTCTAATTTGCTCCAGAGTTAAATCTCGATTTTCTCTATCAATTTTTGCTTTTGCCTTTAACTCCGCCTCTACCCTTTTCATTTCATTTTTATGTCTCAGATCCATTTCATGTTCAATTGTAGCCTTACGCATTGCCTCTTGTTTAGCAACTGACTCTTCTTGCCTATATAATCACATTTAAATCACAAATTAAAATTAATAAATGTTAATTATTAAGTTATAGCAGCAGTTACAATTTTCTTTTTCTCTGCAAAACAAACAATTTTTATTTACCGCCTTAAATTTTCTTCATTCATTCGTTGCTGTTGCGAAAGTTGATCATCATAACGTTTTCTAGCCAACTGATCCTGATACTGAGCTCTTGCTTGATGCTGCTTAGTTTCTTCTTGTAACAATTTCCTCTTTTCTTCAGCTTCTGCCCTTTTAGCTTCGATTTGCATTTGCGCAATGTGAGCTTCATATTCTTTTATTTTAGCTTGTTGTTCGACTTGTCTTGTACTTTCTTGTAGCTTTGATAATTCTAAAGCTTCCTTGGCATGTTCTAAAAAACAGTATCCAATTATAAATATAAAAATAATTTCCTTTCAGCTAATTAAAACATCAATTTGTATCAAGTTACATAACCAATAAAAACATTAAAATCGTACTCGATTTTTCAAGTTCTCTAGCAGCCTGGGCAGCTCTTTCTAAAGCCGTAGAGTCAAATCTGTAAGCTTCCATCGCCTTCCTTTCAGCTTTAGTTAAACTGGGCTCTTTTGGAGAACCATCGTCAGAGCCACCGGCCCCCGCTGGAACCCCAAGGCCCATTTGAGATAAATCCGGCGGTTGATCTCTGCCTCTTCCGTAACCAAATATCCAAGACATTTTTTTTAATCAGTCAATCTTTATGAGAAAATCTAAAAATTATATATTCTCGTCTTTTCGAGGTTACCGACATGCGGCCAGAGAATTTTGACTTTTGACGTCGTATCAAGGCCAAGGCTCGAAATCTAGAGACCGACGTAGAACCCTAGATAAATGATACTATAGATATGAAACTTGAACAGATTTCGTGGTCATTAACAGCGCTAACTGTTGACACTTTCTCCAACTTCTATTGCTTTCCTTTTCTAGGAATTATCGGTAATACAGTGAGTTAAATTACCTGTAGCCGGTAAAAGATGCAAGCGCCATCTAGTTGTACGCTCTACAACTATATACCTACCTACTCAATATTTGTTTTAGGTATTCTGCCGCCGCTAAATTTAAAATTACATAACAAATCTCACCCTACACAGATCACTCAGAAATTGATTTTGTAAAATAATTTTCACGTAGATAATTTTTTTTGTCACCATGAGAAAATAAGTACATTTGATAAAAAGCATTAAAATCACTCAAGCATTAAAGACACTTTTAAATGCTCTAATAGTCTTCCTACTTAAAATAAGAAATAATTTTGATACTGTAACTTTTTAAAATGTTTGTTGAAAAAATTTCAAATTTCAGTACATATTTTGAAAAAAAAAGAGTGAAAATGATTATAGAGTTTCAGTGCTTTCTATATTGTATTAGCTTTCACGGTGAATAAAAAAATATTACAAGTAAATAATTTTACTAAACCAATCTTTGATTAATTCTTGTAATAGAGATTTATTATGCAACTTTAAATTTTTCGTTGTGTTGATATCCATAAAAAAAAAACTACCTACCTCTGATCACGTTTTTTATTAAAAAAAAAAAAAAAACAAAACATTTTATTATTAATAAAAAAATGTGATTATATGATGATCAGACATTATTATGTTATATAAATAAATGTGAATGAAATATCTAATAAAACACACTAAAAACACAAATAAAACACACACCAACACTCGCCAAACCTAACCAACAATAAACAATAAACATGAACAAGAATGACATGAAATGATTCATAATTGCAATTGTTAAAATTTATTCTACAAAATCTTTGTGGCGACATCTATAGACTCTTTCCCCAACTTGTATATCCATCTCAAGTCACGTGGTTCCCAGAGTTTCCCCATTTTTTCAAGTATAAGTTCTCGGGCCCTGCGTAGAACTCGTAGAAGGTGCGTTTTGTTGGATGTTGGAGTTGGATTGATTCCGGAATTGAATGATACAGAATGGGCGTTTTATTGCAAGGATATTCTGAATCCGGTTGCAACTTTTGCTTCTCTAGTTTAAGATGGAATTATTAGAATTAAGTGGTCGGGAGATCAAATTTATAAGGTTACTTAGGTGTAACTTTTAAATGTTTAGTGACTCTGTTTTCAGGGCCCTTTAGGACTTTAATTTTAACAAAATACACCTGTTCATATTATAAAAGTACAAGTAGCAGGTAGCTGGTGTAGCATTTAACATTGGCCTGTAGACATTCTGTCTGTTAAATGTCAGATTTAATTCAATTCGTTTTATTGACAAATGTCATTCTAAAGAATCCAATAATTCCGGGACTAATAAAACAAAACGCACCTAGAGAAAGCTACGAAGCCGTAGAAGGGCCATATCTAAATTTATTTTAAATACAGATTTAAACTGAATTCAGACTAATCTCTGAATCATGGTTCCCGGATGAAATACCCGTTATAGGATTTGCCATTACCCACCCCACAATACAATTTTTTACAGAGCGGCACATATTAAATAAAATCTTTATTAGATTTCAAACAAGAATTAAAATTAAATAAAGGATCTATACGGTTTTTTTATTCGTTTTAAAATGGCATGCTTAATCGAAATGGTAAGATTAACTGCCAGTAGTCCACATAATTTAAGTTCAGCCCTTTTTGTAGATTCTTTAGTGCGTTTTGTCATAAGGTTATTTATTTTGATATTCGATTTGATTTAACATTCTTTTTTCTGAAGACTGATGTCATTAATTGACCATGTATCGACGTAAATCTTTAGAAAAACATAAAAATAATGTTAACTGGGCTACTCATAGCATAGCACAGGGTCACAAGAAGGCACATATTATAGTCCGGGAGGCAGCGACAGAAATTTTGCACCAATTCCTACAAAGCTGATTTTTTCTCATTTTGTTGTTTTGATATCGTAAGTAAACGGAACGGCAGTCTACCGCGCCAATGTGGGGGCAAACGTTAGTAACAATTTTTTAAACATGTAAATAAATAATACTTAAATGCCTTATACCTACAAGGCTGAAACTTTTTAGAGTGATCAATTATACCTAAAAATACAGTATAGTGATAGTCTACCGCGTCGGAAGGGGGGCCATCAAGGGTCTACCACCCACGCAAGGTGTTGAAAAATTAACTTTTTTGACTTATTTCTACAAGGCTGAATTTTTTTTCTCAAATACTTTAGTTTATAAGAGAACCAAAAAAAAAAAGTCTACCGATCATCTAAGGGTGCAAAGCCTTGATAGACGCAATGGAATGCACGATCTCCCGAGCGCAGTCGCTGCGCCGATTCACTGTAAGCCGCTCTGAATAATAACTCATACCGGGATTAAATTACAATCTACAAAGCTGCTTTTTTGTCTATAGATATCTTACAATAATTATTGTCAAATAAACGTCTTATACCTTCGATACGAGGTGGCTAAAGCTTCGGTAGACGTGGCGAAAGTTTTTGCGCGGAAGTTGCTTAAAATTCCAAATTTATTATTAATTACAGTTTTTTGAGCTTACACCATTATTTAAACGTATGATATAGTAACAACGAGCGAGCGTTAGCGAGCGAGATTTTTGCTAGTATAATAGGTATTAACAAAAGTTCAAAAATTTTTTTTTTCAAATAACTGACCTTTTTCTTTTTTAACATTGAATAATTAAATTTATTTCACTTTTACTTATAATTTATAACAATAATACTTTTCGATAATAGCGCGCGAAATGCTTGATTTGCGATTCATCATCACATTCGTCAATTACACTCGTGCGAGAATTATTCTATCGCACTAGTATCGAACAATATTTTACGACACTTATTTATAAAATAAATGATAACAACGCAAATGTTTTTTATTACAACAATATAGTAATTATATAAAAAATAAATATATTTTTCTTATTCCTCATCGCTACTGACATTTGATTCCTCATCGCCTTCCATATCATCACTATCTTCATCCTCATCATCTTTCTGGTCACACACTCCATCATTTTCTTTAAGGTATTGACAACCGTCATTTGCAATTTCTGTATCTGCAAATAGCAATATATTATTAAATATTTATTATATTATGCTAACATAAATTCACCCCCTTTAGGGTCTGAAAGTCATTTTTTAATTGAGTTTTAGACCTCCTTAAAATGCAAATATGTGTACCTGAATCTTTATCGTTCTGTAGATCAAACGTCACATCGATCAGTGATGTTTTTGAAAGCTTACAAAACTACTAACGATAAAATCTTTCGTCAAAAGGTCAAGAGTTTCGATGCATCTGCTTTACCACCTTGTCAATCAGAGCTCCGAGAACACATACTCCGAACAGCATATATTGCACAAATTTGGAGTAATGCTCACTTAAAAGAGCCTACAACATTATCCCCACTCGACTGTGGCTGGAAAGTGGATGAGAATGCAAGATATGATTTTAATTGGTTTAGTGGCGACCAATTGCCTCAGTCAATCGATGATGTGACGTTTGATCTACAGAACGATAAAGATTCAGGTACACATATTTGCATTTTAAGGAAGTCTAAAACTCAATTAAAAAATGACTTTCAGACCCTAAAGGGGGTGAATTTATGTTAGCATAATATAATAAATATTTAATAATATATTGCTATTTGCAGATACAGAAATTGCAAATGACGGTTGTCAATACCTTAAAGAAAATGATGGAGTGTGTGACCAGAAAGATGATGAGGATGAAGATAGTGATGATATGGAAGGCGATGAGGAATCAAATGTCAGTAGCGATGAGGAATAAGAAAAATATATTTATTTTTTATATAATTACTATATTGTTGTAATAAAAAACATTTGCGTTGTTATCATTTATTTTATAAATAAGTGTCGTAAAATATTGTTCGATACTAGTGCGATAGAATAATTCTCGCACGAGTGTAATTGACGAATGTGATGATGAATCGCAAATCAAGCATTTCGCGCGCTATTATCGAAAAGTATTATTGTTATAAATTATAAGTAAAAGTGAAATAAATTTAATTATTCAATGTTAAAAAAGAAAAAGGTCAGTTATTTGAAAAAAAAAATTTTTTAACTTTTGTTAATACCTATTATACTAGCAAAAATCTCGCTCGCTAACGCTCGCTCGTTGTTACTATATCATACGTTTAAATAATGGTGTAAGCTCAAAAAATTATAATTAATAATAAATTTGGAATTTTAAGCAACTTCCGCGCAAAAACTTTCGCCACGTCTACCGAAGCTTTAGCCACCTCGTATCGAAGGTATAAGACGTTTATTTGACAATAATTATTGTAAGATATCTATAGACAAAAAAGCAGCTTTGTAGATTGTAATTTAATCCCGGTATGAGTTATTATTCAGAGCGGCTTACAGTGAATCGGCGCAGCGACTGCGCTCGGGAGATCGTGCATTCCATTGCGTCTATCAAGGCTTTGCACCCTTAGATGATCGGTAGACTGTTTTTTTTTGGTTCTCTTATAAACTAAAGTATTTGAGAAAAAAATTCAGCCTTGTAGAAATAAGTCAAAAAAGTTAATTTTTCAACACCTTGCGTGGGTGGTAGACCCTTGATGGCCCCCCTTCCGACGCGGTAGACTATCACTATACTGTATTTTTAGGTATAATTGATCACTCTAAAAAGTTTCAGCCTTGTAGGTATAAGGCATTTAAGTATTATTTATTTACATGTTTAAAAAATTGTTACTAACGTTTGCCCCCACATTGGCGCGGTAGACTGCCGTTCCGTTTACTTACGATATCAAAACAACAAAATGAGAAAAAATCAGCTTTGTAGGAATAATTACATCAATAATGTCGCTGCCTCCCGGGCTATTAATTAATGAGACGGACGGACTGACGATGACGGCTCTCCTGGAGGCTTTCGCTTTCATTTTGGCAAAAATAGTACCTAATATCAACTAATATCAGTTCAAAATAACTCTTTAAGCTGCTACTAGCTACTAGTACTATTTTTTGCCAAATCGGAAGGCCATCTGTGTTACAACTTTACAACGAGAGTATTATATCTATCCTCTATTATCTTATGTATAAAATAAGAGAGCAGTACGTGTAGAGTAGGCTAGCCACCTACAACGCAATATAAAGTTACTTCCCTAATAAAATAAATATTCCCCACAAAATCTCCTGGAAAAACAATTCCCCATAAAAAACTCAGTCAATGAAATTCCCCATGTTTTGGGGAATTATCCACATATTGGCAACCCTGCTCTGAATTCAAATTTTAAACTCTGAATTCAGACTTTAAACTCTGAACTTTCATTCCAATCCAATGCAAGAATGTTCCATTAGGTTCCCTGTTCCTTGCCATCATGAAGGCTGTGTATTGGTAAAAACTCTTTTATATCTCTTGCACTCTTGCCCTCCAGCTTGGTTAGAATATTTATGCATGTAAACGAAATCACCTTTTTGTAATTTTATCTATTTGTTAATAATTTATTATAGACTTTTTATACTATCTGTTGCTATAACCCTTGTGTGTCCCTAGAGAAAGGGTTGTAACAATACAGTATATAGAACAGTTTATTTTTTATTTTTATTAATCTATAATTCAATATTTTTATTTAGAAATAAGTTTATAGGTAATTTTAAAAACAATTTATAGTAAACTGAAAAAACCATTGATAAACTTCAGCCAAATAGGTATCTATATTAAAAATAGTGTTTTTTTGGTATCAAACTTAAAGGCTTTGCCTTCATGCATACTAGTCATGAAATTATATTTTGTATCGATTTCGCCTTGAAAATTCCCTTATTGTCCTGATGCCTTAAGTTCAGTTTTAAATTATAACAATATTAAAACTAAAATATCATAATACCATTGCTGTTTTAAAAAGATACGTCTTCCTTATTATCTATTATCGGAGTGTACAGTAGGCGCCACCCAAATGTGAACAGCAATATTGTACCGTGTAATTTAAACTTCAAAGCATAGTCGTCCTAAATTCATATGCCGGAGCATTTAACTCAGTCGCAAAGAGCAAGGGCTATAGCTAAATTAGAACATAATTGGTCTTTGAGTGAAGTAGCTGCTGATTTAAATGTCAGTAAGAGTTGTATATTTTATATTAAACAACGTTGGTGAGAACAAAAATTACAAAGACCAAAGACCTATCAAGCAAGGTGTTAGGAAGGTTTCTAGTGACGCGGAAGACAATGCCTTAGTCGAATTTATCCATCAGAATACCTTCTCTGTGTTACGCCACTACAAAAAGTCTGATTTACTACGATAAAATCCAGATGAAATTTCCATAACCAAACTGGGTGGCGCCAACTATACATAATAACAATGTATTCTTGTTATAAAAGCACCATCTCTACCGATTGTATCCCATATTTAAGAATATAGCAAATAAACACAATTTATGATGGGAGGAAAAATGCAGTTTTTAATTTACCGAATAGTTACGATTAAAAAAAAAAAATTTCTCTAAGAAAATGATGAAAAAAAATATTGGATTAATAGTAATAAACAGAAATATCTTAGCTATATGATAAACAAAAATAAAACAGAATTTTCTAATTAAATAAAACAAATAATAAATTTGGTTATATGTATAATCTGTGTTACATTTTTAAAACTCGCAACTATAATTTACAAATAAAAAAACTAAGAAACATCTAGTGAAATTTTTAAAAAGTACATTTTTGTATAAGGTACATCAGATATATAAAATCCGTTATTACAATACTATTTAAATATGAATATATTAAAAAATACTAACAGTTTACTTAGACGAACATGTTAATCAGAATCTTCGCTGAATTCTATTGTATCCTCAAGTGTGGGCATTAAAGTATATCTGGGTGGTTTTCTCCAGATAGCACTTGATGTCCTTTTCAGTTTTCTAGGGTCTATTTTTTCGAAAATTTCTTGTAAATCAGGAGTTTGTGCTTGCCTACAGAAAAACGAATTTTTTATAGTTTCACCAGCAGCGATCATTGCACGCTGCATTTCTTCCATTTCCCTATCTGAAATAAACAAAATAAAAGTATTAATCAATACAATTAACAAATATTAAGTCAAAATCATTGTTGTATAAAGGAATAAAGTTTATGTTATATCATAATTATACAGAAATGTAAGTTTTCTACTTCATACATCATCACATCGTTTAGTACATAAAGGATACTTGTCATGTTTTTAATAATGAAACTGCAAAACATTCATGTTTTTGTTGGCTGTATAAAGCAGGTAACAAGTAAGATACATGTTTCCTTTGTATAACCAGTTTATGTTGCTGCAATCGTCAACAGCTCACAGAAACAACACAATTTTTGTTAAGCCTATGTATGAATGAATAATTTATAATTCCTTTTTTTCAATTGGAAGATGCATATCATTTATTAAGAATCAGATTGAACGTAAAAACATATCAGGTTAGTGAGGAATTTTCTGTCAGATTAGGCCACTTCCGATGGAAATCGGAAGTCGAAATTAATTCTATGAGAATGTATTCTGCTTAATATTGAGCATAATTTTTACACGAAAAATTGTTTTCCGAAGGTGAAAGAAAGTTTCACATTTTTCGGTGTAGAATCGAAGTCCGCAATAAAAAAACATACTATTTAACCCTTTCACTGCTCCAGACGTATACAGGGTGTAACTAAATAAGTGTAAAACATTTAAGGGGGTGATTCCTCATCGAAAAAAAGATAGGATCTTTCATATAAAGAAACTTCATTGGAGCATCTCTTGTTAAGATACAGCCCCTTAAAGGGGGTACATAAAATTTGTTTAACAATTTTTTTCACAAGCACTAAACAAGTTACAATATTGAAATTAACCTGACATTTTCTACTACCAAAAAGACACTTAGCCAGTAATTTATTTGGTTTACCCCATGGTTGTAAGGGGTGGAAAACGCAACCCCTAAAATTTATTTCCAACGTAATTTTTTGTCTTATTATTTTTTTACCATTTAAAAAATTATTTCCGATAGCCTGTTTCATTCTAAAAAAAAATGTCTCTTGAATTTTTTGCCCAAATTAAACCAGTTCGCAG